TGGGCTGTCTTTGGGCAAAAACTTCCTCTTTGATTTATCTGTCCTTTGTTCTAATCTTATGTTCTGAAGTCTCTTGGATTTATTCCTTCACAAACTAGTGGCCCACCAATGCCCCAGAGTTTCCCATATCCATCATTTCTTTGCTTTTTTGCCCTTTGAACTATCTACATTTCTTTGATTTTAGAGTGGTATGAAGATAGTTGCATATGTTCCTGGTTTTTTTCTTTTTCTACTAGTCCCCAATTCCACAACCTAACAAGCCAGATCATGATTTTTGTTTTTATTTATGAGTTTAGACATAGACTATTTTTGGGAGAGATTGGGCTACTTTACCACTGTCTCATGGAAGAAATACAAAGTTTCAAAATTCATGTGCATCATGCTCTAGAATGTAATGATTATCCTCACTATGTATTTCTCCATTGTCACCATGTAGTAATATATGCAGCATAAAATAATAAGTGATGTCAAATATGAGATTAAAATAGCATATATTACTCATTGATATCTTATAGTGTTACATAGTCACAAAAATTGTAGCTTCTTTTGTTGATAATCTGGGATATACATGCATTATAGATTATAGATTAATTGAAACATATTTGGTGTTTCTCTTTTATCTAAAGGTAATCTATCATACCATCAAAATCATATCTCATGGTCAACCAAATGAATAAATTGGCTGCAAAAGTGAACAAAAATACCCTAAACCATGAAGTACAAATGAAGGCAGTTTTCTCACATAGTGAAGGAAGAAAGAGCAGAGACAGGAGGGACCATCGCATTTGGTACAGCTCTTCTACCCATAAAGACACTGATTATACTGAGTTGTTTAAGTGTGTGTTTTAGGAAACAAGTAGTGCACCCCAAGAGATGCATTTCCTACTTCTAAACAATATATTCTGAGCCATAATTAGAAATAAGTCTTTGCTATTGTGTCATAAGTCACTAATGGCATATTTTTTCTGTCTTCTAATTTCTAAGTCAAAAAATTCAAAGGAATGCAAAATCCAGTTCAGGAAGGGGAAGAAACATTGTAGGATCTGTTCACCTCTGCCTTCAACCACTTGAGGGTGATGGAGAAGTACTAAAAAATGTTAGTGTGAACTAAAGTTGATATAAGCCTAGAAAAAAAAACTGTTCTACCCAGCATGAATCAAACATCTGGAATTTGTCTAAGATAATGCTTAGGAGACAAAAATTCAGAGGAAAATGGTTGAAGACAGTTGGAGAGAAATTGAAAGCCATTTCGTGCTTGTGTTCTAACACACTTCTGATTACTGAAAAATTTCACAATACATACAGACAATGCAAATACATACTACCTGTATTCTGTTAGTATACTTCTAAAAGTCCGATAAAGATGGCTTGGCGTTCAAAATGAAATAGCCATATTTATGCTTTTTGATAGATTTTAGGGACTGTGTAACAGTCACATTATTTTTGGATTCTAATAATTTTACATATATAACAATATTCTCAGAGTCTGAAGTAAGATGTATAATGTATTAGTTAGGTGCTTAACTTGTGTTGTTTCTGAAATATTTTGATTTTGTATAAAATCACCAAAAGAAAAAAGACTTTAGAACTTCCAAGTAGTTTTTATTTTTAAAGTAGAGAGGGGAAAGTTCCAAGGGAGTTTTGCATTATTGTCTTATCAAGGGGCATCTCAGAAATAGATGGTATAAATTTGCTGTTAGCAGTTGTTTTCATGGATGATTCGGTACTTGAGGACCTCAAGAAAAGTCTTTATTCTGTGGGAATCTTTGAGCATGCAGCGGAACAGGTTGTAAAAGGTAAAACAGCGAACATCTTCATTGCTTGACTGCAAGGCTGTCCGCCCAGACCAGGCAGGGTAGCTCTCATTAGCTTTTTCTCCAATCTGAACATAATCATCAAAGGGATAGTCATACAAGTATTAATTAATTTTTAGTATTTTAGATGCTTATTCATTCTAAATATAGATTTGTGAAAGTACTCACACCATCAAAATTATAAAATAGACACAGATTTTCATGGAAATTTCACTGAATCCCTAATGAATACATTTTCTGGCACATGTGAAATTACTAATGCAATGTTTCTTCCAGGAGTTGATAGATGGACAGCCAGCAAGTGGCTACTTAATTTTTGACACAGGTTACAAAGGGACAATGGAAGAACTAACTTAAGTTTTATTATTGAACAAACTGTGTGCCATCAGCGTAGACTCAGTCTTGTTTTTTTTCTACTTCATGGTACTTGACATTAAACCAATTTCCCTTCTGATTTTCAACCTAATTAGTTCTCCAAATAATGTGTGTCCAATAGAGCCCAGAACAAATAATAACTGCTCTGGACGGTCCAAGAGGCAGTATTCAAAGGATGACTATGCTAGATATGCTAAGGTAGTTAGGTATCTGTCTTTTTACCCAGGAAAGATACTACAAAGTGAGAAAAATCTGGTTTCTTCTGATACCCCTGGGTAAGAGACTCTGAGAAAACCATACTTGAGAGGTGTGGTGTTGCTGGTATCCCTCTTAACTATAAGGCTATAACAGATATGAATGCCTACATTTTCTGTTTTCAAGGTTTTGCTTTTTTTATTTTTGAAATAATATAATTACACCATTTCTCCCTTCCTTTCCTCCTTCCAAATCCTCTCATATACTATTCATGTTATTTTTTAAATTCATGGAATCTTCCTTAATTATTGTTACACACATATACCTATATGTACTTACGTATGTATTCCTACATATAACCTGATCAGTCTGTGTAATGTTACTCATATTATGTTTTCAGGGCTGACTGTTTGGTATTGGAAAACTAACTGATGGACTTTTCCTTGGCAGAGCCTATTTCTCCTACTCTCAACATTCCTTACTTGCCTGCAGTTCTTTGTGTAGGAGTGAGGCCTCACAGACCTTCCCCTGTAGCCCTGACCACTTTGGTATGTTCACTGGGGTTGCCCTTGTTCGTCTCATGTTTAGGAAGTCATGTTGGTGAACCTCTATGAATGAAGCTTCTGACATTCCTAGGAGACACATTCTTACACAAACTCCCTATTCCTATGATTCTTAAATCTTTCCTCCTCACCTTCTGCAATGTTCCCTGAGCCTTAGATGTGTGAATATTTTGCAGATGTATACATTGGAATTGGACTTCACAATTCTTCATTTTGACTAGTTGTGGTTTTCTGTAAGTCTACATGAACTACATTGCTTTTTAATTATTTTTTGCAAAGTAAAACATTTAAAAATATATTAGTCATTACAAAGAACACCTTATGTAATTATGAAGAAAACAAAGAACTGCCAACAGACTGCTTACCTTGCTGAGTATTATTTTAATTCCCTCCGTGAGGTCTTCAATTTTTACCTTCATCTGTCTGGTTTTATAGAGAACAGAATATGGATCGCCTTGCATGATAGATATTTCATTCACAAGATGATGCAGAGGGTCGGCCCAGGAATACAGTAGCTTGTATACCAATTGCAGTAGTACTTCTGGCTAAGTAACCATAATTTAACAATAGTGTTAGAATAAATGAAATGTAATAAATTTCTGTAGCTGCTTATATTATTTTATAGATGATGTATTTGTATATGTAAAATATGTAGCCATTGACATTTGTTATGAAATTTTGTTGAAGATTACACTCAGAACTGTCATCAGAGTGCTCTATGAAGTTTCTAGCAAAATAATCCCTCTCAATAAATGAGTTTTGTTGCTCAAACTCCCACTGTTAATGTTTCCTTTATTTTTCTTCATTTATATCATAATTGTTTAAATGAGAATTGTAGATGTACATTAAGTAAAACATGTAGGATGGATTGTACTGTGTGGATGTGTAGGGATATATAGTAATGTTCAACTCCACCCTGAGATCAGTTATGGCAAGAAATCATATATAAGAGATGATGACAATTGTAAATTGGAGCTGATGTAATATATTGACTTGTCATCATACAAAAAGGATGATTTTAACCTGAGGAATAAAGTACAGTGTTCATTGGACTCTTTTCTCAGGTGGTTTTCAGTTACAAAAGAAAAGTAGAACAACCAGTTAGGAATTAACACTTAGCAAAAGAAAAAGGAGCAGAACCAGGAACTACTTAACATTGAGAAATGAACAGATCAGTATCTGCTGTGCCGCCAATTTGGGGTTCATCAGTAACTGTGAGAAATACAACTGTTGAATTGTATTTTGCCTTCATTACATTAACGAATATTCAACCATGAATGTTAATATCAATTGAAACTTTCCTACAGACTAATAAGTACAAGCCCAAGGATTCACAGTGGTAAGAGGATCTTCTCCATGTAAAATTATGGATCATCTAAAATACCACTTAGCATATTTCACTTATAATTTATTAACCATGCAGTATGATTTCTTTATTGCTCATATGATAACCATTGCAGTACCTTTGATTGACTCCACTATGTGTAGAAATGCTATATTCCTTCAGTTGTTCTGGTAAAGAAATAAAAAAGAGTTAAACACTTACATTGCTTTTTAGAACTTGCTCCTTGTTTACTGGAGTTTCAAAAAAATCAGTGGGGCAGATGTCAGGGACCCTATCATTATACCTCTTGCCGTGGGCATACTGTTTATCCTGGAAATTATGAAATATTAAATAAGTTAGAGATTAAAAATTATATGAATGAGTCATTGACCAAATTCTGTTGCATTTGATAGATATTTAATTTAAACTCAACAGAAGATAATTGATACCTAGTAATGTAAACCTAGCCAACTATTTGTGGATGGAGATGTCATAGAACCTACTACTGCTGGTTCCTAAAAAACATATTCTGTAACTGTATTCTAAATAAATATCCTTCTACCCACAGATAAGATTAATCTCACCCCTCACCAAAGAAGGTTTTTCTTGAAATAGATGGAGACAATTACAGTGATATACAACTGGTCAAATTCAGAGAATGAGTAACTTTGAGGTTCCCAACCCCAACTAATATATCTTTAATGCAATTCTTAAACCTAAACTCAGAGAAACTCTCAAAGGGGGAGTGGGGTAGAAAGCTTGTAAAAGTCAGAGTTTCAGGAAATGTGCTGATAGATAGCTTCCCTTAGACATGACAGGTAAAGTGAACCCATGAATTTTCAACAATATGACTGACTAAACAAGACCACCATAGTAATAATACTGATTGACTTGTTAATGTAAACAGGAGAAATTCCACATAGTTCTATTCTTAGATGAAGAGCTACAGGGGTTTCATGGCTGCTGAGAGAGGGCAAATCAATTGATTCCTGGGATAAATGACCACATAGGTTGTCTAACACTAGGTAGTCAGTCAAATATGCAAAGGAAAATATGGACATATATATGCATACACATACATACATACATACATACATATATACATATATATTTAACAGCAATAATATGAAGGAAGGACATTGCCCTATCTCTACACCAGAACTACACATGAATTCGAATTGTTTAAAAATAATTTAA